GGCAGGACCAAGCAGGATAGGATATAGGCTTAGGATCAGGCCACTTATAGATGCGTAGATCGGAGTTGGAACCTTCTCATTGAGAAAGCGGTTATAAGAAGCTGCGCAATGAAATTTGACATTATTGAGCCTGTGCTAGGCTATACCCACTAATGTTGGGTTATCCACCATTTTTGTTGGTTACATCCGCATGTTTACTCATCTCATCATATCGCTTTCATGTGTATTTCCCTGTCCATGTGCCGAGTTGACCTCTGTCTTTGTGGCGAATGATGAACCCACTCAGTGGCAGTTCTCACATCGGCGTCAGGCGCCCAAAGCTGTGGCCGCAGCGTTGCACCAAAGAGTGGCCAAAGACGCCACCCCCAGGATCGGCGACGTGTTTTTTTTCCGTAACGACGAGTCGGTGTAACGGACGGGGTGAGGGAAAAAAACTTGGGAGGTGCAAGCGTTGACCCCATGAGCAGGTTGAGGTCCTTAGGGCATAGTTGTTGCAACAATGATATTATGATAATCATTGAATAAACAATATAGGAATAATGACTGGGACACAGCGGGACACAATCACAATAGAAACGATGATAAACACCTGAGGCTTGCAGACAACAACCATCACATGAAGTTTGACATGCTTTAACCAACGACGCTATTTTTTAAACAGGGGGTTAGTCTTATAGAAATGGGGTATATCTATACGATTCTATACCATCCTATACCTATTAAGTCTTTTAATGATGAGAAATAAATCCTATCTGTGGTATTGTTTCCAGATGTGCATGGTCATGTTTCGCACTTTCAGGACACCAAAGGATGTCCATTGATTGCCCTTGAACAGCAACCTGGAGCAAAACAATTGAGCCGGAGCCGAACCATGATGTTCTCATCCATTGCGGCAGGAGCTGCTCAGATTGTCATGTCGCGCATAGTTTTGACTTCGTATTGTAAGTGGAATTGAAAGCGGATTTCAAGATGTTCAGGCGCAAGCGTGTTTTGAGCTTCTTGATTTCTCGTCGGAAGCAGCATGTATACATTATAATTCATTTAAAAAATGGTTGATTCATCATGGTTTATTTTTCGGAGCTTGTGGCCACACGCGTGGTTTGAAGGTTTCCTCGGATCTCATGAGCCATGTTGTGTTTGTGGAATGGGCCGTCTTTCATATCAGATCAAGACTGCAGGCAAGCAGGACGGAACTTACTAGAGATGTTTTTGGTCCGGTGGATCAATGTGCTCCTGGTTAGTTGCTGGATAACTCGCCCAAATCATGGGTCACTCAGAGCAAATGCCTTGAAACTCTTGAAATATTACTGTCTTTCTCCAACCCAAGCCTAACAATTTGAGGAACAGCCGGCGGACAGCGATGCAGAAGTGGTGGTGCAGTATTTGAGCAAGCGACTCGGCAAAAGGAAATGTGTGCTGACACTGATGGCTTTCTTTTTCTCCTTAGGCCATCACCGTGATTATCCGATCCTCCTCATTTTCCCATGCTTCAGGAATGCCAGCAGCTGGAGCATCGTTGTTGTTTTTCAATGGGTGTAAGGGCCGTCCTGGAACCTACTGCCTGAAGTTTCATTGGACAGGGTGAACTTGCCCTTCCCTCATCCTTTAGTGGCTCTTGTGGTTGACATGAGCATGCCGCGCCCGGTTCAATGTTTTGAAACTTCAACAGTTTAGCTGCACTGCTCAAGAACTTCTGCAGTACTGTGCAACCATGTGCAACCCATGTATCACAGCTCCATTGCTTGGCGTTCCCCTGTCCTGAAAGTTAGATATGATAGACAGCTACACCGGCTGAATCATCCAGATGAGCACATGGACATGAGCCATCACAGAATATTGAACCATAGGATGCAGCAATCAACATCCAACAACATGTACCATGAAATACGGTGAGCACAACGCCTGCTCTTCACCAGCTATGATGGTTGTGCTCGATGGCATGATGGCATCGTTTCCGCACATGAAATGCCACAATATGCCGCTTGAAATGCCATGATGCGCCATGCAGTTGCTCTTGGTGACGTTTCTCTTCGTTTGTGCCTCTGCTGAGCTGCGTGTCTCGAAGCGGAGCACGTTCACTGGACAGGAGAGCACCTCGGCTGCGGTTTTCGGGGCTTGGTGGTGGTTGCTACCAAGCAATTGAGTTCATGCGCCAGACTGCCCAGATGCCGGGCTCGGACCAGGCCGTTTCTTTGGAACAAAGGTTTCTACCTCCTCGTAAGTTGGGGAGATTGCGTAACAGGCATAACATATTCAATATAAAATATCATTAGATTCATTAGATGCCAGACTATGCAACAGACACCTGAGCTACGTTTTTTTTAAATATAAAAGGGTTTATATAGAGTGTAAACTGGATGTTGCTTTTGGTGTGGTTTTACCTGGCTGGCGTAAGGATTGCGTAGGATTGGCGTAGGCATTTTTCAAGGTTCCAAATATCTTCTGGTTTGCGTAGGCAACATTTCATTGTATTTCAAATGCTCGTACATGATCGGCGTTGGAATCTCACGCTTTAAAATTGATTCAATGTTATCCACAAAAGGTTCAAAGGCACCGGGTTCATTCATGGATAGTTGTCTATACGAACAAACCGTGGAACTTGCCCGGAAGAGCAGATATACAAAGGCAGCGGAGCAGCTTAAACCGTCTTGATGTTCTTCGCTTTCCACCTGCTTGTTGCTAGATGGGCCATATTAGCTCTTGCTTAAGAGGAATGTTTCACCAGATTCCTGCCAGGAGGCCCCTGGAACAGGCGTAGCCTTCGCGTAGACTTCGCGTAGGCACCGCGTAGGCTCGGGTGCCCGGACTGACCACCAGCCCACGTCCGCACCAGTCCATATTCGACACATTGAACCGCCCAGAGCTGCCATTCACCAAGCTAGCGACAGTCGAACACGTCGCTTGGCTTGACTCCAGCATAGTCAAAAGTTACTAGCTGAGTCTTCAGTGATTTATCATGATTTATCCACCAGATGTTTAGTGTGCGCTTTGGGACCTGGTTGCTGGTGCGGCTGCTGCACATGGGTGTGGCTGCAAGATGTCTATGGGCGCTTTGGAGCCTGGGCGCTCGTGCTGCAAAAATGTGAATGGGACTGTGGTCGCGTAGTCAAAAGTTCCGTTTCCAACCTTCCAAAAGCAAACAGAAGTGTGACGGCGTAGGCAAAAACATACATTGTGGCGTCGCTTTATGCGTGCGTTGGGCCTGCGTAGGCACACCTTCAAAGGGATGAGCCGCGTAGGCTCCCACTGTGGCCGCGTGGGCATTGCGTAGACAGTGGCGTAGGCAGCACAGGAGTAGACGGACCCAGACAACAAAAAAAAACACAGCTCACCTGTTGATGTGTTGCCTTGCCACAATATCTACTTTGTCTTTAGCCAGTGAAGTTTGTCTCTTAATTGGCCATCAACAGAAGCTGCAACTTGCCACTAACAACTTCCACTATTTTTTTATTTGGTGAAAAGGCTTGGTGCCGCCGGACGCACAAGAATCTTGTCCTGTCAGCTTTGTTTGCTTGGACTGTTGGATTTACTTTGCCACCCTGCAAGGTAGCCACCCTGTGCCCCATCCGGCAGATGGATCTAGTGCCAGACATCTGCAGGCGGGCCGTGCAGTGCACAGTAATAATCGATGTTTCGGCGTGTTCTGTGTGATTTTTCATATCTTTTAATGTTTTTTCTATTTATATACAGTCCTGGAAATTTCAAGACTGACATGTTAGGATACTTCTGACGATTCTGTTATATGATGTCTTTGGGTATCTTCCAGGCATAATTGCTGGAGACACACATCACCAAGTTGTGCAGGTTTTGTGCAGTCCCCACTTGCAGGACTGTGAGGTGATTGGCTGGGTCGAACTTTGCGAACGGAAGAAGTTGACGGCCGGGGCGTGCTTTCAACTCGAGTGGCTCTGTCACAGGGGGGAATTGATGGGTTTGTTGCAGGTTGGCAAAGTCATTGTTGGGCCAAAGTTTTTTCGACATGTATGGGGAGTATTGCGCTGAAGAATGCTGAAGGCTTCAATGGTTTGAAGACATATGCTTACAATTTTATCAATGTAGGGTGCCTGCACAAACCTCGGAGCCCTGCAAAAACTGAGGCCCACAACGGCAGCTCCACCCTGCGAGCTGCAAGGGCCCCATGGGGCACCGGCGCAGCTGCGGCCAGCGACTGCCGGGATTTTGACCTTGACCTCCGGGGAGCTACGCATCACCGGGTGCCTTGGAGGAATTCAGCTCCGAGTCGTTCGATCAGCTGAGGTGGGGAAGTTGGGAGGCACTCAAGTTGGATCGCTCACAAACCAGTTTACCTTTTTGGTCGTCTTGAAGTGCCTAGCTGGCTTCGCTCTTCATATAGCGGAGTATCTTGTTGGGTGTCAACAATCTACATCATGCAGATGTAAACCAAGGCATCTCAGGTTCTGCTAACAACCTACCCCAGGTAAATTTTGACACGCTGGCTTCAGTGCAGAAACTTCGAATGCTCCCAAGGCAAATTCAGATGACGTCGCTCCGCCTGGCAGCCAAGAACCCTGCCTGCACAAGGGGCTGAACTCAGCAGGTTCAGAGCCTGTTGCGGTTGTTGTATATAGCAAAATGTTTTTCTTATATAGAATGCTTCACAAAGACACGCCGAGAATGGCACGGGAGTTGGATGTATTTAAGCATTCAGAGTTCAGAGTACCATGTGAGACCAGATTTTTTTCTGCAAAAAAATCAGCTGAGTGAGGACTGTGAACTTTGCAGATGCTCACGTGGAAGCGTGGCATGAAGGTCCATCGGATCCAAATGCTACCGCGCTTGGCGGCGCCTTTTTCAGCATGGGGTCATTCACTTTGACCAGGTCCCGACTGACTGCTCCTTGGATTGTTTTGGCAACCAGGCTTTCAATTTCCGGTGTCAGACATGGACTTGGAAGTTGGATGAAGTTCGTGGAGATGCATGGTCTTTGGACCTGGATATGGTCTAGAAGTTGTTGATCAGTAGACATGCTGCAGATACCCATGTGATGCAACATCCAACGAAGGTGAGAGGCTCTGCAGCGGCAGCTGGTGGTGGTGGCTTCGCAGCGGGCGGAGACCTGACCCTGGGCATTGCAGAGCGCAGGTGTAGTCGTTGGATGTAGATGGGCTATGACACATGGTGGTATCTGAGAATTTCTGATCCAGTAATTTGTCAGTTTTGGATCCACATGCATTCATTATATATTTGCTGAGGAAATTCCATGTCACCACAACATGGTGAGAACGTGCCAGCTACTCGTAGGAAGTGTTCATTCTGCCAGAGACGCTAGGGCTTGAGTTTTAGATTGTCGCTTGGGCCTTGGGCACTTCAGTATCTTCTGGCATTTCACCTTTCTTTTGAGACACAATTTTCCGTATCTTCCGGCATGTCAATTTTTGTTGGACATGTTTTTCCAAAAATGGATTTGTGAAATTCATGGCACATGCGACGGAGCTGTGGTCAACGGTGCAGCACTAGGAGATCCTTAGATCCTTTAGGAAGGCAGGCTGACTAAGGAGCAGCACGTGACACAGTCGAATTCAAAAAAGGCCATGGATTGCAGAAGGGGATTTGTCATCGTTTGTTGTCCATGGGAAAATGAATGTGGAAGCTGTAAAGGTTTTGCTGATCACAGAGAGAATGAGAGTGGAGCCAAAGCATGTCAACGCAGCGGAGAGGTAAGAGATTGTTGGTGCTTCCCTTGTTGCATACGCCAAGAACATGTGAATGCTTTTCTGGATGCTCTTGGCATACAAGATGTAATATTCATTGTGTTGTGGTGCGTATGACCCTTGTGATGTTCATGCCTTCAATGAAATGACATTCTGTGCCCAAGGAGTGTGTTCCAAGACTCTGAAGTCGTGATCGAGAACGTTTCAGCAAAGTCTGGTGCTGGCTTCGTTGTCATGGGAGATGCTTACGTTTTTGTGGGGCACTCAGTGCATTCGCTGCCATTCTGGAGAGCTGTGTAAACAGTCTTATTCACAGCATTGAAAGTTCCCATGAGTTTCTTTTGACTCATGTTGCTGTGAAAGACATATCTCTATTGATTTGTTTGTTCTCTCAACTGACCCTTGTGCGATTGCTTATTGGGTCAGGACAACTCAATGATCTTCATTCAGAATGCGAGATCCACCGGATACGGAGGTGGCTTCTTAACCAGAAAACGTTTGCGAGTGGCACACAGCTCAGCTGTCAGCCTTCAGAACGTGATTGCGCAGAAGCATGGAGGAGGTTTCTTGGTCATGGGAGAGGTTGAGATAGCTGGGAATTCGACAGTCAAGATTTCCAACAGCCGTGCTGAATCAGGAGATGGAGGAGGTTTGTACACTTGGAAGGGCTTGAAGGTCTCCAACGGCTCAAGGCTCGTCATTCGGAATGCGGCTGCTGGGAATTCTGGAGGAGGATTCTTTGCCAGAGGCAACACTACCATCAGAAGGTCCACCGTCAACATTCAAAATGCCACGGGCCAGGAGAATGGTGGAGGATTTTGTGCATCTGATGAGGTTGTCATCGATGAGATGTCAAGCGTCAGCATTTCCACTTCAAGATCGAGATTTGGCGGAGGCCTCCATACGGACGAGCGCTTGCAGGTGACCAGCGGCTCAGCTGTCAGCCTTCAGAACGTGATTGCGCAGGAGTATGGAGGAGGTTTCAATGCCCTTGGAGGGGTTGAGATAGCTGGGAATTCGACAGTCAAGATTTCCAACAGTCGAGCTGAAGCCAAAAATGGAGGAGGTTTTAACACTGAAAAGGGCTTGAAGGTGTCCAACGGCTCAAGACTCATCATTCGGAATGCGGCTGCTGGGAAATATGGAGGAGGATTCTATGCCAGAGGCAAGACTACCATCAGCAGGTCCACCATCAGCATTCAAAATGCCACGGCCAAGCAGAATGGTGGAGGATTTTGTGCATCTGATGAGGTTGTCATCGATGAGATGTCAAGCGTCAGCATTTCCACTTCAAGATCGAGATTTGGCGGAGGCCTCCATACGGACGAGCGCTTGCAGGTGACCAGCGGCTCAGCTGTCAGCCTTCAGAACGTGATTGCGCAGGAGTATGGAGGAGGTTTCAATGCCCTTGGAGATGTTGAGATTGCTGGAAATTCGACAGTCAAGATTTCCAACAGTCGAGCTGAAGCAAAAAATGGAGGAGGTTTTGACACTGAAAAGGCCTTGAAGGTGTCCACGGGCTCAAGGCTTATCATTCGGAATGCGACAGCCGGAAATGATGGAGGAGGATTCTATGCCAGAGGCAAGACTACCATCAGAAGGTCCACCGTCAGCATTCAAAATGCCACGGCCCAGGAGTTTGGTGGAGGATTTCATGCATTTGATGAGGTTGTCATCGATGAGATGTCAAGTGTCAGCATTTCCACTTCAAGATCGAGATTTGGCGGAGGCTTCCATTTGGAGAGACGCTTGCAGGTGACCAGCGGCTCAGCTGTCAGCCTTCAGAACGTGATTGCGCAGGAGTATGGAGGAGGTTTCAATGCCATTGGAGAGGTTGAGATAGCTGGGAATTCGACAGTCAAGATTTCCAACAGTCGAGCTGAAGCCAAAAGTGGAGGAGGTTTTAACACTGAAAAGGGCTTGAAGGTGTCCAACGGCTCAAGGCTCGTCATTCGGAATGCGAATGCTGGGAAATATGGAGGAGGATTCTATGCCAGAGGCAAGACCAGCATCAGAAGGTCCGCAGTCACCATTCAAAAGGCCACGGCCCAGCAGATTGGTGGAGGGTTTTGTGCAGCTGATGAAGTTGTCATCGATGAGATGTCAAGCTTCAGCATTTCCAGCTCAAGATCGAGATTTGGCGGAGGCTTCCATACGGAGCGCTTGCAGGTGACCAACAGCTCAGCTGTCAGCCTTCAGAATGTGATTGCGCAGGAGCAGGGAGGAGGTTTCTTGGTCCTTGGAGAGGTTGAGATAGCTGGGAATTCGACAGTCAAGATTTCCAACAGCCGTGCTGAATCAGGAGATGGAGGAGGTTTTGCCACTGAAAAGGGCTTGAAGGTGTCCAACGGCTCAAGACTCATCATTCGGAATGCGGCTGCTGGGAAATATGGCGGAGGATTCTACGCCACAGGCAAGACTACCATCAGCAGGTCCACCGTCAGCATTCAAAATGCCACGGGCCAGGAGAATGGTGGAGGGTTTTATGCATTTGATGAGGTTGTCATCGATGAGATGTCAAGCGTCAGCATTTCCAGCTCAAGATCGGGAGACCAGGGCGGAGGCTTCCATGCGGACAAGCGCTTGCAGGTGACCAACAGCTCAGCTGTCAGCCTTCAGAACGTGATTGCGCACAGGTTTGGAGGAGGTTTCGATGCCCTTGGAGAGGTTGAGATTGCTGGAAATTCGACAGTCAAGATTTCCAACAGTCGAGCTGAAGCAAAAAATGGAGGAGGTTTTAACACTGAAAAGGGCTTGAAGGTGTCCACGGGCTCAAGGCTTATCATTCGGAATGCGACAGCCGGAAATCATGGAGGAGGATTCTACGCCAAAGGCAAGACTACCATCAGCAGGTCCACCGTCAGCATTCAAAATGCCACGGGCCAGGAGAATGGTGGAGGGTTTTGTGCATTTGATGAGGTTGTCATCGATGAGATATCAAGCGTCAGCATTTCCAGCTCAAGATCGAGATTTGGCGGAGGCTTCCATGCGGACAAGCGCTTGCAGGTGACCAACAGCTCAGCTGTCAGCCTTCAGAACGTGATTGCGCACAGGTTTGGAGGAGGTTTCCATGCCCTTGGAGAGGTTGAGATAGCTGGAAATTCGACGGTCAAGATTTCCAACAGTCGAGCTGAAGCAAAAAATGGAGGAGGTTTTAACACTGAAAAGGGCTTGAAGGTGTCCAACGGCTCAAGACTCATCATTCGGAATGCGGCTGCTGGGAAATATGGAGGAGGATTCTATGCCAGAGGCAAGACTACCATCAGAAGGTCCGCAGTCACCATTCAAAAGGCCACGGCCCAGCAGACTGGTGGAGGGTTTTGTGCAGCTGATGAAGTTGTCATCGATGAGATGTCAAGCGTCAGCATTTCCAGCTCAAGATCGAGATTTGGCGGAGGCTTCCATACGGAGCGCTTGCAGGTGACCAACAGCTCAGCTGTCAGCCTTCAGAACGTGATTGCGCAGAAGCAGGGAGGAGGTTTCTTGGTCCTTGGAGAGGTTGAGATAGCTGGGAATTCGACAGTCAAGATTTCCAACAGCCGTGCTGAATCAGGAGATGGAGGAGGTTTTGCCACTGAAAAGGGCTTGAAGGTGTCCAACGGCTCAAGACTCATCATTCGGAATGCGGCTGCTGGGAAATATGGAGGAGGATTCTACGCCACAGGCAAGACTACCATCAGCAGGTCCACCGTCAGCATTCAAAATGCCACGGCCAAGCGGTACGGTGGAGGGTTCAGTGCTGAAGGAGTCGCAAGTATCCAGGATTCTACCGTGGCCATGTTCAGCACCCATGCAGGGGCAGATGGTGGTGCTTTTTCCGTGTTTGGTTTGACTTTGCACAGAAGTCAATTGTCGGTCAGCCACTCCACTGCAGCCGGATCAGGCTCCGGAGGTCGTGCAGATGGTCAAGTGCTTCTTTCATCTGAATCCAACTTGGTGGTGAAGGATGCCCAAGGTCTCGACAATTCCAGTGTGCTGACTGCAGCTTGCCTCCATTTGCATGATCGATCACACATTCTCTTTGAAGATGCCGTTGGCGGCCATGGGGTGGAGCTGCAAAATAGTGGATGCTCTGACGTTTGCTCAAACACCACCTTCCATGTTGCAACGGATGCAGCCCTCAACGCCAGTGGTCGCTTGAGCTCCGGTTTTCTCTCCCTTGCATCCTGCCCGAATGAGAAGGTACGTCTGTCAGGCATCCACCTGCACTCCTGGTCCAGCGCGTTGCTCAGCACCCGGCCCAGTTCCGTGATAATCGGCCAAGTGACTATCGACTATGAACCACCTATCGACAATTTGCAGGTCCTGGCTGCCAAGGACGGGCTCAAGGTGTCAGCAGGCGACAGTGTGGGACGACGGCTTCTTCAAGCTGCGAGAGATTTTGGATGTTCGGATTTTGACTAACCTGTCAGAAAAAGTAGGGACCAAGTTATGTTTGTCTCTGGACTCTAGTTTTCCAATTAAATTGCTTCATGTTTCTCCCCACCTGCCAGGTGAGGGTTGTTAGATTTTATGTCAGTTGCCTGCTCCTCCTCCTCCTCTCCTCCTCCTCTCCTCCTCCTCCTCCTCGTCGTCCTCCTCGTCCTCCTCGTCCTCCTCGTCCTCCTGCTCAACTGCGACCCGCGATCCACAGTGTTCTCTGTCGGACCTCAACCACGACCATCGACGCCCAGTGTTCCCTGCCGGACCTCAACCACGACCATCCCCACCCAGTGTTCCCTGCCGGACCTCAACCACGACCATCCACGCCCAGTGTTCCCTGCCGGACCTCAACCGCGAGTATCCACGCCAAGTGTTCCCTGCAGCATGCCGGACCTCAACCACGACCATACACGCCCAGTGTTCCCTGCCGGACCTCAACCGCGAGTATCCACGCCAAAAGATATGCCACATAGAGTGCCAGAAGATATGCCAGATAGAATGTTAGAAGATATGCCAGATAGAATGCCAGAAGGTATGCCAGATAGAATGCCAGATAGAATGTCAGATAGAATGCCAGAAGATATGCCAGATAAAGTGCCAGAATGTTTGGCAGATAGAATGCCAGCAGATTTGCCAGATAATATGCCAGAAGATATGCTAGATAGAATGCCAGATGGAATGCCAGAAGATTTGCCAGATAATATGCCAGAAGATATGCCAGATAGAATGCCAGATGGAATGCCAGAAGATATGCCAGAACATATGCCAGAAGATATGCCAGGAGATATGCCAGAACATCTGCCAGAAGATATGCCAGAACATCTGCCAGAAGATATGCCAGGCAGAATGCCAGAAGATATGCCAGATCGAATGCCAGAAAATATGTCAGATAGAATGCCAGAAGATTTGCCAGTAACAAAATGTATAAATGTCATGGTGGGGATCACACGAAGTAAAGTAATTGAAAATCGGCAATTTGTTGAACTAAAGTCGCAGCAGGATGGCTTTGACATCGACTCTTTGACGGTTTCCTGTCGGAACTGCCCATGGGGTGTGACTTTCAACGCTACGAAGGATAGAAGTCTGAAAGCCGTGAGCTCTGAATATCTCGAATGCTCCAAGACCATCACAGCGCCACTTGTTGTCACAAGTGTTGGTTCTCCTTTACCACCACCTTAGTTGGAGGATGTATGTTTGTTGATACTCGCATTATTTGTTGTCAAAACTATTTAGCCTCCCCAGTTTCTATACTCCAGGCGCTAAAACGGATTTCCACTGTATTCATATAGAACGATAGAGGTTTCAGGTGCAATTTGTTGCTACTCATATGTCTAACAAGTGTTTTGTACGTTCCAAGTTGCATGTCCGATATTTCCTGGAAACCGCGTTGAGGTCCAAAGGCCTGACGCAACGTTGCAATTGTTCCAACTACCAGTCCCTCAGCTCGCTGGTTCCTTTTTCTTTTTCTCAGTGTTAGCTTTCCTACCGATTGGTTTAAGGGCGAAACCATGCGAAGTCCACATGCTGATCAATTTCTAAGCCATGTGCCATATCAGCCATTCTTTTGCAAGATTTGGAAGACCTCGGATTTCCAGACACAGTTTAACACCCCAATTGTCTCTTCAATTTTTGATAGTTTTTTAGGGCTGAACACTGCTTGAAGCCCGCGGATGCCGGACGGAAGGATTGCAACCGAGCACTTTCGTGGTGTAGATATGGTGCCCTTGGAAAGCAGTTTCCAGACGTGCATGTTCTGCAGCTCGTCCTGCAACATGTTTATCCCTTGGAACATCTTGGAAACCTTTGGCCCTTTGGGATTTTGTGCGCAATCAGTTTTAGCATATTTTGACCCCTGCCCTGTTTGTAGCTGAGGCAAGCCTCACTTCCATTTTCAGAATGACGATTGCCGGAAGTGTGGAGTCTTCAATGCTTGGTCTGATGGAAAGAAGGATGTTTGTCACGTTCTGCCACGCCAGAACTCAGCAGAGTTGTTCGCACTCTTGACAGGTGCAGCTGTCTTGGTCATTTTAACCTTCCTTGCTTTTGAGATTTTGCATGCTCCTTTGATGATCGTGGATGCGAAATCGTATTTGGACGCAAGGCAAGCTGAAAGCAAAACCATTTTCACGTTTTCCGTGCAGGGGCCGATTGTTGATCTTCCCAAAAGCCTGGCACGATTGGTGAACCGGCGGGTGCATTTTCGGGCAAGGGGAACAGGATTGATATGGCTAGACTACGACCAGAAGAAGTCCAACACAATCAAAGTTCGAAGTATTGCACGCAGAAAGCTTTTGCTGCAAGACACGAGTCCCCCGTTTTCTTGCGCTACGTGCAAGGGTTCTTTGCACGCCGCTGATTTTGCTTACCTGCTTATCTTGCTCACTGCATGCATATTTGTTGGTGCAATGCTGCCTGTCATCATCAAGGTAGCAGTCATATCCGGAAACGGTGTGGGACATGTCTTCGCCGCTTTGGCCCGCAAAGAGATTTGTTTTTGTGCATACGTGAATCTAATCAGGTGTTTTTTTTGAGAGTTTTAATTGGGTTTTGTGCTTTGCCGTGATGGAAAGACACTCTGCGCCAAGGTTACTGCAATTTATGTGTCTCTTCCTCTGGTTGCTGTTGCTGCGCTGCTGCACTTCCCAATCGCGTGGCTGATCCAACGGTTATATCGTAGAACGTCATTTTCGGAGGCTTTGGATGAGTACCAGAGGCAGATCAAGTGCAAGCCATTTCCAGGGCCTGATGGAACCCATCCTCGCAACCAGGGCTTGCAGGTTCTGACTTTGCGCGGCTTGTGGATGCACTTTGAGAGTTTCTCTTCTCACCAGCAATGCTTTCGTCGAGCTCGTGTGCTCACATAACTAGCTCGTTTCTCATTATAATGCTCGGATCTGAATGGATAGACAGAGTACCTTCTTTTTGTTCACGTCAGTAAAGAATCCTAAGAGAAAACACATGTCCCAACTTGTTCAACTCAGGCTTTATTCTCGAGCGCAATATGCACTTTGTGGTTGCCAACATAGTCAGGCCCCTGACTCAAAGCAAAGGAGTTTCCTTTGTAAGTCTTTGGGGTGGCAGGCAGGTGGATTACTTTGTGTCACTTGGCATGCTTTTGGCAAAGTTGTTTTTGAATTGTTTTCTTCCAACGTTTGCGCACCTTTTGCCCAAGCCCCTCCAAGCCTTCCCTGCGTTTTTTGGAAGGTCCCATTCCTGGGGCACCAGCTTTCCGCACTTCGTGCATTCCATCCAATGCCATGCGTTGTCCAAAGAGGGCCCCACTTCTTGGATTGATGCAGCATATTGGATATGTTCGTTTGCAACTTGGAGGAGAACACTAGCCCATTTTCGAGAAGGGCAGAATGGCCGAATTAACAAAAGACAGAGATTTCATCCTTGGGTGGGCCGGGGGGGATGATGATTGTTTAAATGTGGGGTACCATTTTGGCTCAAAGTAACCCCAAATTTGGTCCCACTTAATAGGTGGGGGTATGTCAGGGTTGATTCCGAGCAGCCATGTTTTAGATAGTTGGGCGAGTCTGGATGATGCGTGTCAATGGGCTGGACTCAGTCAGGGCGTTGTGCGATCTTGGGCAAGGCAGTTAGGTGATGCAAACCTTTCTTCTTTACAAGTGATTGCAGTCATGCCCATGGAGACATTGAGGTTAGCCATGAATAACGCTGTTAGAGGTGGTGTGGCGCTGACTGAGATTGAAAAGGCCCAGTTGACATTGCTGATTAACGCCGTGAAGGCGAAGTTTGGCATAGCATTTACCGGTCTCACTGGAGGGGTGGCTGATACAGCGAACTCGAGCAGGCCGGCGCACGGTGCTGCCAGCCCATCTCAAAACAAGGTGAAGATAAAACTGTCACAGGTGATAGATCAAGGTTCTGACGCTGAAGTAGAGCAGCTTCCTCACGGCACTTTGCAGCAACTGCGTCAGAAGTATGTTCTTGTAGAAGGTGATGTACCACTGGAATCCGAAGAAGTGACAGACTCACAGCTTACTTGTTTAGACTGGAAGCTTTCAATGGACCTCCCACCGTTTGTTGACATGGGCGTCTGGGGCCCCTACGGTGACAGACTCGCACGACAGATGAAATTTGTCAACCAAACCTGGAGAGACGGAGCATGGAAGATAGTAGAAGTTCCAGGAGCTTCTAGTTATGATGCTTGGTTGGAAGCTTGGAGGATCTTTCGCACCGCGGCCATCATGTTGGAGATGGCCACTAGTGCAGTTCTCGATAGGTATGCTGCTGAATTTAAACAGAGAATCCAACAACACCCAGGTGTATGGCATCTTGCAGCACAAGCCGATATCAGGTGCAGATCCGAATTTTGGGGTCAGGAGAGACGACGACAAGAAGCCTTTAGGGCCTCGCATCCCCAAATGTCAGCTTACAATCCCAAACAGCCATGGAACTCAGTCATCAAAGCCTCCGCCTGCAGCTCTGAGTTTTGGGATAGAGAATTCACCAAGCCAGCCATGCTCTACCAGATGAACGGTCCACGCAGCATGCCAGCCTTCCCGTCTCCACCCACTGGACCGGGCTTTGGACCAGGGGCAGGCTCAACATCAGCCAGAGATGGTGGGCAAACATCGAGGAAAAGGCCGTTCGACCCTCAGAGAAAGGATGGCCGCTACTTCAAGTCCCGCAGCGGGGTGAACATTTGCTTCGATTGGGCTTGGAATCCAGATGGTTGTGACAATGAGAAATGCAAGCGTGAAATGGCGCACTGCTGCGAGTTTTGCCGTGGGCCGCACAGGACGATCGATTGTCCTCAGGTGCCTGGTTGGAAGCCCCCAGACAAGAACAGTGAGAAACCCAAAGGACGGGGCCGAGGCAAGGGCCGCGGCCGCACTCGTCAGTTGTGACAAAAGGAACCTGGGCAGCCAGTTCGATCTCAGGTGAGCCTGTCTTCAGAGAAGTTGGAACATCTGAGAAAGAAGCTGGCTGCCAAACAGGCAGAATTCGTTTTGAGCAAGTCACCTCAAGCACCCAATGGCTGTCCTGAACAATTGCTGGCCAGCAGGAAATGCACTGGAGCTGACGATGCCTTCATGGAACTCCGTGCAGGCAAAGCTGAATTGATGTTAGCAGTGAAGCGAGCCGTTGGTGGAAGCGTGGAGGCAATTTTAGATTTGACACAAGCCACTGCTTTCAAGGATCTCAAGAAGAAGATCAAATCACGAAAGGTGCGGTGGATCCATCTTGCGCCCCCATACCGCACTTTCACTAAGGTGCGCCGCAAAGACAGGTACACAAAATGCAGAAAACTGAGAAGCCGCAAACAACCTGGAGGGCTAGAGCCCAAAACGCGTTCAGTACGCGAAGCAAACTTGGTGGCGTCACGGGCAGCGCAGCTTGCACTGCTTCAATGGAAGGCAGGCGGCGCGTTTTCTTTGGAAAGCCCGGCGGGATCATTGCTTTGGGAATACAAGCCGGTGAAGCAGCTGGCATCCTTGAAGCACGTTTTATTGCTGTTTGGCGACCAATGCTGTTTCAATGGAGAACGTGTCCGGCCGACAGGCTGTCTGACGAACGCATCGTTTCTGCAAACCCTGGAGAGAAAATGCCCCGGGGCCCCACTGCACCATCACTCACCATTTGAGGCTCCTGCCGCTTCTGAATATCCTCAAGGGCTTTGCGAACACCTAGCGGCTTGTTACAAGAAATTTTTGGGGGACCACCTGCAGAGGGGTGAGCCATGGCAACTGCAGTGGACACTGGACGGGGACACCAATGCTTTGTTTTCGAAAAGGGTGAGGATCGAACAACAGAACGATGAAGCTATAGGTGGCCTCAGAAACCCTGCGAAAGCGCTGAAGAGATTGCCACAGTGGCCGCCGGTGGGGCGAGAAGTACGCTCCACTATTGAGGCAACACTCCAGAGATGCTCTGATCTGTTTGATTTGCGGCAGTATGTTGGCAGCGATGAGACACCGGACCTGGAAGCTGGGTTAACATTGCTACAAGCTGCTCTACACCGCAAGTTTGGGTTCGGCTCTAAGGCGCCCGGCCTTTGGGGAGGAGCGTTGGAAAGATTGGTGACGCTGACGTCAGACCCTGACACGGAAACCGCGACCTGGCCTAGGTTGGGCACACCACTTGGAATTGTCGAACCAATACGTCCATCCAATATTTTCCCACTGTTGGCCGATGATGATGTAGAGCATGCCGCTCCCTATGAAGACCTTGCCTTGGAAGGCGCCTGGGCAAATTACAAGTCCTATGATGAAAATAGGGAGGAGGCAGAAGCTTTGTTTGACATTGAACTAGAAAAGGGCTTTGTGGAGTGGTCGCCAAATCTGGCGAGCTTGGAAGCCAAATACGGCCGTTTGATCCCATCGGCCATTGGGGTCGTCGTGAAGCAGAAGCCTGGAGCAAAGAAGAAAGTCCGCCTAGTGCATGATCTCCGCCGCAGCTTGGTGAACGAGCAAATCGCTTGCCCTGAGCGTTTGATTTTACCACGACTGCGAGATGTTGTTTCAGACATCCTTGATTTGCTGGAGTGCAAGGAACAGCATGAACATGTACTGTTGGTCACACTGGACTTTTCAGATGCTTTCAAACATTTACAAGTCAGGGATTCAGAAAAGCGATTTTTGGCGGGTCAGGCAAAGGGTGGCTTCTTTGTTTACAACACTGTTTTATTTGGAGTGAAAACTGGTCCCCTTGTATGGGGAAGAATGGCAGCCTTGCTATCAAGGTCAACCCAGGCGCTCTTTTCTGACCGCTGCTACCGGCTACAAACTTTTGTTGACGACCCTATCATCGTGGTGAAAGGAACTGAAGAAGAAATACACAATATGATCAACACCACATTAGCTTGGTGGTCAGTGGTAGGGCTGAGAATTGCTTGGAGCAAGGGGGGCATCGGACACAGTGCGGAGTGGATTGGTGCCAACATCACCATCAACAATGAAGGCGATAAGGTGGTGGTGCAAGTCCCTGCAGACAAAATCAACGACTGGAAAGTCTTGGTTGATTCCCTTTTCACGAAGCCCCTGGTCTCACGGAAAAAATTGCAACAGCTCGCTGGCAAACTAAACTGGGCAGCTGGTTTTGTCCTGCAATTGAAGCCCTTTGTGAGAATGCTGCACGCTGCCCTGGCAAAGGCGGACTCTTCAGCGGCACAAACAAATTTTGTTTATTTCCGACAAGTTGAACCTGCTCTGACGTGGATCAGCAAATTTTTCGCTGGATTTATGCATGGACTTACTTGGGAAGTCAGGGCGCATTGGCGACACACATGCTCCCTCGACGTTCTGGTGGATGCCTCCCCTTGGGGAGGAGGAGCAATCAAAATAGACACAGATGGCACGCCAATTTCCACAATTTCCTTGAAATGGACAAGGCGAGATGAAGAGCTCACTGGAGCAAAAATAGGAGATGCAGGTTCGCAAGCCCTGTGGGAGGGTTACATGATGCTGAGAAGCCTCCAGTGTTGGATGACTGCGGCAATGCAAGGGTTTGTCAGGGTGCGAGGTGACGCACAAGGTGTTTTGGCATCACTCATCAAAAGATCAGCCAACGCACCCCTGTTAAACAGAGTAGTGCGTGAGATAGCTTTACACCTTGCTTTGAATTTCACTTCTTTAGAGGCACTGCATGTCTGGAGCGAAGATAACGTATGGGCTGACCAACTCTCAAGGGGAGAGTGCCCACCAGAGTTGCGGAGTGTCCCACAGGTGGTGGATCCACCAAACCTTTGGCGTTTTGAGTGAACAGGGTGCATGGATATCCTTTGTGCTGAGTTAGCGTTTGCATCAAGTCAAGCACAAGCCAGGGTTTCTTTGAACCAGTAGGGTTGCGCTCCGGCTCTCAGGCAGGATCGCGACGATCCCAACCACAACAAGTGCGCCAGGCCTGATTGATTCAGGGTGAAGGGGCGGGCTGTGGTGAGGGTGTCCCCTGCACAGCCGCCGTGTCACACACACGCGCACACACACACCACGGGTGATCACACACGAACACACACACACACACACACCACACACACAAAAAAAAAAGGGGGAGCGTGACAGCGTCTGAAGCGACAAGTTGGACATTCACTGGACTAGGACTCTAGAACATGACATTTCTGCATGCTGTCAACCATCTTGTGTGTTTTCATGTCCCTTCGCGAGTGAACATGGCCTTTACTTAGGAGCTTTCTGCTTGTTAGTGATCTGACTTGACAGTTGCTTGTGCCTTGATGTGTTTGGTTTTCTCTCCATTCTGTTTCCTTACATCGCGCTGTCGGCATCCTGCAGCAAAAAAAAAACTCCAGGTTTGAGGTTTCTTTTTCAGGCCCAAAATGAAGCGTTTAAGAGATGAACCAGACCGATCAGATTTCAAAGCCATGGCAGGGCTGCACGCCCAACCGGTGGTTCCTAGTGAAAATTCGGGAGTGTCGGCGACACAACAACTTGTAGACACTGGCATTCTCCCAATGCAGTATGCTTGCACTGAATGTGGCAACACTGTGAGAAAAGAGCAATCGTCCATACTTTGTCCTCACTGCGATGCAGGCCCCATCCATTCGTCTTGTGCTCTCCAACATATCTGTCCACTTGGCAGCAGGTATGCTGGGAATTTTATGGCTGAACAACCTGCTGACCAAGAAGGACAGCAGACACCGTCAGATAGTGAGGGCTCCAAAATGGAGGATGGGGAGGCAAGAGTTTTCTCAGCTTCAGCCCTGGCCAGACAGTTTGCAGAGCAAGCACAGTCGCTCCAAGTGCCACCTGCGGCAGCCATGATGGAGCGGCCTCCGGTCCCGGCTAAGCTGCGGCCCACAGAACCAACTGTACACCCTTACAGTAGGGGATCGCAAACCAAAGTTGGCCGGTTGGAACAGGATGCTGAAGCAGTCAGAACAGCTTTACAAGAATTTGACGAGGGCAAGTTTGCCAACTCCAATGCGCCCGCGCACAAATCCAGATCTCAATGGTGGCTTCAACGGGCGCAAAATGCTGGCATGGATGCTTACCCATTGACAAAATCATCTATTGACTATGCTGGGGCATTGCTGAAGGCTGCGGGCTACCGCAGCAGCGCCCAGTATTTTGCAGCCATGAAGCGTGAGCACGTACAGGCTGGCCACCCCTGGAACGACCAGCTTCAGCTGGCCACACGGGACGCGGTCAGATCCTGTGAAAGAGGAAAGGGCCCAGATAAGGTGTGCCCCAGTTTTGACTTGAGAAAGTTTGAGGACGTCCCGGAGATTGAGCCAGTTCCAGGTGGCCCCTTGCGACCGGTGGACACGGTCATCCTTTTCTCCTTGTTTGCATGCCGAGAAATAGAAGCAGCTCTTCGTTTGCGATCACAGGTGGTCCTGGAAGAGGGGCCCGGCTGTGGGACGGTAGCTTTACAACTGCCGGCCAGCAAAACTGATCCTAGAGGGGCCGGGGTCACAAGGCGTCAAGGTTGTCTCTGCTCTACTTCACGCAAACTTTGCCCGACTGCAGCAGCCAGAAGGATTTTAGACGCTGGGGCTGCGCAAGGAGCAGACAAGCCAGAAGATCCGTTCTTGATCACTGACACATCCAAGGCCCCAACAAAAGCGGCCATGGTAGCCACCTTTCGCAAGGTGGCTTTGCATCTTGGATGGACAGAAGAAGAGGCAAGCGCCCTCACCGGCCATGCGTTGAGGCCGACGGGTGCACAACACATGGCACGTCATGGCATTGAGCTTTTTCGAATCCAATTGTTTTGCAGATGGGAAAGTTCTACGGTATTGAAATACTTGCGAGACATTCCTTTAGAGAGTTCTGAAACCTGGCTCAGCGAAGACACTGCTAACGAATCCCTTTCATTGGAGGAGATCATTTTCTATGTTTATGAAAAGTTGAACAAAAGGTCGCTTGAAGTGGCCCACCAAGAAATAGAGGCCCTGGTGATTGAAACTTTAGAAGCACGCATGTCGATTGCATTGAATGAGCTGCATGAGACCAAGGAAGAGGCAAAGGCGATTCTAGAAGATTTCCGACAAAAGGAATTTCAAGTGAAAGAGCAATGGGCGGCAGAGTTGACACGGAGTTTCCTCCCTAGATTTGTATGGAACAGAGGTTCCAACAAAGTTCATTTTGTCAAGAACGCGTTTTCTGCTGCGTGTGGCTTTGAGTTTAGAAATTCGAAAGATTTCTTGTTGACGAACATTTGTAGTGAAACGTATGCCAAGTGTGAAACACCGGCTTGCCAGAAGCACCTGCAATTATCCTGTCAGCTGCCTTGTTCGATGTGTGAATTGGTGGTGGTGAGCCTGGCTTGGCATTGTGCAGCCAGTGCATCACACATCTCACTGGTGCCAGGTACTGGGCTGGCACATGGAAGCACCCAGGCACCCTGGATCAGTGGCCACGCACGAGAAGGCGGGCATTCAGCCATCAAAACAGGGCAGGTGAGGGCGGGATTGCATGATTGAACTGTCGTTTGTTGAGAAGGGCAGAATGGCCGAATTAACAAAAGACAGAGATTTCATCCTTGGGTGGACCGGGGGGGATGATGATTGTTTAAATGTGGGGTACCATTTTGGCTCAAAGTAACCCCAAATTTGGTCCCACTTAATTCCCCCCCACCGCATTGGCACAAGTGCCACCCTTAATTAAGTGGTGGTGGTGGTGAGCCTGGCTTGGCATTGTGCAGCCAGTGCATCACACATCTCACTGGTGCCAGGTACTGGGCTGGCACATGGAAGCACCCAGGCACCCTGGATCAGTGGCCACGCACGAGAAGGCGGGCATTCAGCCATCAAAACAGGGCAGGTGAGGGCGGGATTGCATGATTGAACTGTCGTTTGTTACGGTGTTATTTCTGTTTGAAGAATATATACAGTAGTGGCACAGCGTGCTGAAACCCTATGAATCCATATAACTCCGATTATTATTTTGAGTTTTGACGATGAATCAGGGATGTTCCATCCTCCTATACGCACCAGACAGGCTACAAAACTGCGTTTATCATGTGCGAGCCTTTTGTGCCTAGTGCAATGGTGCCTGTCCAGAAAAATGTTTTGAGGCGGACATGTTGTGAAATGAGAGGAGAACAACGTTTGCAAAAAAATGATCACCTATGCTGAGGTGCATTTACAGTCAAATATTCACCCAAATATTTTGCATGGAACATTTTGGAACGTTGATTCTTAAAATGCCTTGATACAACATGTAAAGACTTCAACTCATCGGTATTTGATGCAGTTGAAAGTTGAAACTAGCCCTAACTTGGTTGACTATACAATATTCCTTTGATTTGTTCCATGAAAACAATTATGTCAAACTATGTGTTTTGAAATTTTCAGGGCACATCAAATGGTCAAATCGTTTCAAATCCCATGTTCGAACTCTTTGGATCGCAGATGCCTAGAATAACAAACGTGACTTTCTTGAAGATGGCTATACATCAGCATATGACAGTACATCAGCATATGACAGCACATGCAAGCCGAGGGCATACAGACCAGATATCTATCACCCCCCTTTTTCATGCAATTCAAGACATACCACTACTATCCTGTTAAAATTGCCGATGCTAAAAAACTGGTTGAGCCCCACTCTGACAATCGCATTTATTGCGGTCAACTTTGATGCTTTTTGTTTTTCCAATATTTCCAATTCTCTCTCTAAAAGGGCCTGATTTATGCTGAAGACCTTTGCAAGAAGTGATTAATGAGCAGATGGACGTTTGAGTAGTCTGGTGAATGATTTATTAATATATATATAGTTTGCAGTTTGAAATGTAGCATGTATACTATATATTGTTTTAAAAAAAACATACATTCAGGTTCGGCCCGCCAAAATGATATCACGGAAACCAGTCGATAGGCTTGGCTGAAGTTATTGATGGGAGGGAAGCAAGTTTAGGGGGTCCGGGGGCAGAGCAGAACGAACTGGCACAAACATGGTCATGTGGGTGGTGTTTATGGTCTGTGATCTTGCAAGTTTTCCAGGCTGACGTACCAGGTGGCAAATTTCAAGGGGGTCAGAGGGGAAGCTTAGACGTGGTTAGATTTCCCATGGGGTTAGAAAAGCATGCGTGTAATGGTAATGAATTTGCAGCATAAGGGTTAGAAAGGCAACTTAATATAAGGGTTAGGCGTGGTCGTGCTTCAGTCAACAGCGCTTTTGTCTTGTTGTAATAATGTCCTTTGTGCTCTTAAAGTATTTCCTTTGCCTTTATGAAAGGCTTACAGCGCCATACTTTCTGGATTTGTTTTGCCGCTCATGCATGTATCTAGTCTGAGCTTTACAGCGTCTGGATCCGACATATTTGATGTTGTTGTTGAAATTGTTGGTTTCTTCCGATGACGGTTGCAAGTTAAGTGGTGAGAATAAAGGCAATATGTCCAATATATACATTTTCTTTGGTCAACTGAGTCAACTGTGTGAGTTGTGTTTGAGTAGATGCCATGTGTACTTGTACTGCAGGTTGCACTTTGGCTGGGCCACTTATTTTAAGTATGTTTCAATGCCCACGCTTTTGTGATACCCACTGCTTCATATAGCGATGCATTGAAATCTTGGATGACCAGCCAAACTTGCTCAGAATAACAACGGTCAAAAAACATGAAAACATTCCCAATTATCACGGTGATTATTTGACTATGTGAATTTATATGCACAAACATTTCAATTTCAACAATAGCAGTTGGCTATTTTAGATTGTTAAACACACGCCGGTTTGAACACACATGTTTGTATATCACACAAATGAAAACAGCATAAAGCAGCTAGATAAGATCATGATGTTGTTTTATTTGGTACTGTAGTTTTTTTTGTGTTTGTTAATTTGACTTTGTCATGTCTACTGTGCAACTTAAAGTCGTTTTACGTATTGAAAAGTCTGACAGATTGACCGGGAATATGCGTGACTATGTGGTCTTATAACCATATACATGTGCAATTTAGAGCAATAAATGGGTTGATGCGCTTTTTAGGGCCATGTGACTTTGGCTTATTTTAACTACACATGCATGTTTACTCCAGAATCAACTGTGGATTCTAATTCTTCAGACAGGAAGAATTGATTGCATAATATGATTGCACGTGTTTTGTTGCGTTTGTCGCACCTTTGGCGGTGGGGTCCATGCTGCGGGGTTGCTGCTACAGAGGGGGGGGCTAGGGCAGACAAAGAGAACAAATGAAACATGTGTCTAAGACATGGAATTAACTCAACAGTTTTTTCGACATGATTTTGTCTTGTCAACAAGGGAAGCAGATCACCTAGCACCCAGGTACCAAACACCAGTTTCGAACCCCTTAAAGATTCACTTGCTGGCGTTCACTTGGCCTCCGAAAGCATAGTTGGCACCTCCGGCACCCCCAGCACCGGCATCAATTTGGCCTTTGAAATTCCGCATTTTCAGCACAACAGTGTATAGACCTTCGGTATTGCCAGCAGAAACCCCCACGCCCCCCAGAACGCCCAGAACACCTAGCGCCCCCGTACCGAATTGCAAGTTGGAACCCTAAGATTCAATTGCTGGCCTCAACTTGGCCTGAACTGCCCACAGCACTTAACAGCACCACTTGGCCAGCTCTCCCACCCCCGCACCTCAACAGCAGTTTCTGCGGCAATTCCATGGCCACCACTTCCAGCAACCCCTTGGCTTGGGTGAAGCTATAAGTAAATGCCGAGGTGTACATACAGCAAGGTCAGAATTTGCGGTGATCCCAGGTGCCGCCCCGCTTAGGCCAATGCTAGGCATGGGCTGACAAATAATTATTGTTCAAAGGTTGGGCCAACATGTTTGCTCATTTTCTTTCATGTGCTCATGTGTTCCTTATTTGTATTTAAGCTGTGCTATTCCTATTTTGATTATTTTTATTGGATGTATACCTCGCGTTGGAATTCATTAGGGGCCCTTCTCTTAAGCATTGACTCCGTCAAAATAGTTTAGACTATATTGTATCCTGTGAAAAATCGCCCAGGCGAACAACCAGTGGAACATTGAAACTGCACTGGGAAGTGATCCCATGGAGAGCGCCTTTGCACTCGCCTTGACAGCGGGAATCAAAGGAGTCGCAATGGTCATGGACCCGGAAGCGCAGCCTCTCACAAGTGACCCGACCAGAGGAAGGGTAATCATAGGCAATCATTTTTTTAATTTTGTTCCTTTTTGTGTCGGTTTTCTGATGTATGGTTGCTATTGCATTTGCTTTTGTTTCTTTTCCTAATTATTTGCTGTTCTGTTTTTTTCTGTTGTGTGTTTCTGTTTCTTCGTTTCGCTTTTCTGTTTCTTCGTTTGTTTGCTTCTCTGCTGCTCCACTTCTCTGTTTTTCCCCACCTGCCAGGTGAGGGTTGTTAGATTTTATCTAAGTTGCCTGGTCCTCCTCCTCCTGCCTCCTCCTGCCTCCTCCTCCTCCTCCTCCTCCTCCTCTCGTTGTCCTCCTCCTCTCGTTGTCCTCCTCGTCCTCCTGCTCAACTGCGACTCGCGATCCACAGTGTTCGCCGCCGGACCTCAACCACGACCATCCACGCCCAGTGTTCCCTGCCGGACCTCAACCACGACCATCCACGCCCAGTGTTCCCTGCCGAACCTCAACCACGACCATCCGCGCCCAGTGTTCCCTGCCGGACCTCAACCACGACCATCCGCGCCCAGTGTTCCCTGCCGGACCTCAACCACGACCATCCGCGCCCAGTGTTCCCTGCCGGACCTCAACCGCGAGTATCCATGCCAACTGTTCCCTGCCGGACATCAACCACGACCATCCACGCCCAGTGTTCCCTGCCGGACCTCAACCACGAGTATCCACGCCAAAAGATATGCCACATAGAGTGCCAGAAGATATGCCAGATAGAATGTTAGAAGATATGCCAGATAGAATGCCAGAAGGTATGCCAGATAGAATGCCAGATAGAATGTCAGATAGAATGCCAGAAGATATGCCAGATAAAGTGCCAGAATGTTTGGCAGATAGAGAATGCCAGCAGATTTGCCAGATAATATGCCAGAAGATATGCTAGATAGAATGCCAGATGGAATGCCAGAAGATTTGCCAGATAATATGCCAGAAGATATGCCAGATAGAATGCCAGATGGAATGCCAGAAGATATGCCAGAACATATGCCCGAAGATATGCCAGAAGATATGCCAGAACATCTGCCAGAAGATATGCCAGAACATCTGCCAGAAGATATGCCAGGTAGAATGCCAGAAGATATGCCAGATAGAATGCCAGATCGAATGCCAGAAAATATGTCAGATAGAATGCCAGAAGATTTGCCAGTAACAAAATGTATAAATGTCATGGTGGGGATCACACGAAGTAAAGTAATTTGTTTTCAAATGATTTCAATTGTTTTTTGTTTCTTTGTCTGCTAGTTAGCAGTAAATCAACCCTAAATAAACCTTAAACGGCCTTGAACCAACCCTAAACAAATCCCCAACCGACCTTAAATAGAAACTTAAAGCGACCTTCAGGAAACCCTAAACCAATCTTCAGTAACCTTAAACCCAGATAGTTAAATCCGAAACCAAACGCAGATAAACATAGGTAAACTCTCAAGCAACCCTTAACCCCAATAAACTTTGGACCAACATTTCATAAACCCTGAACCAACCCTAAACAAACCCTGATTCATCATTTAAGTAAACCCTAAACCCTCAATAAATTCAAGTGTGGCCACTAGCAGCAGCATTTGTAGTAGCGCAAATTGCAAATAGCTGCGAAAATTATCGAAAACATAGCCCCTGCGCCACGATTCCCACAGACTCCAAGCCCCAAGATAAAAACAGTTACTTTAGCTCGAGTGATCCCCACCATGACATTTATACATTGTGTTACTGGCAAATCTTCTGGCATTCTATCTGACATATCTTCTGGCATTCGATTTGGCATATCTTCTGGCATTCTACCTGGCATATCTTCTGGCATATGTTCTGGCATATCTTCTGGCATATTTTCTGACATCCTATCTGGCATTCTATCTGGCAAATCTTCTGGCATTCTATCTGGCAAACATTCTGGCACTTTATCTGGCATACCTTCTGGCATTCTATCTGACATTCTATCTGACATTCTATCTGGCATACCTTCTGGCATTCTTTCTGGCATATCTTCTGGCATTCTATCTGGCATATCTTCTGGCATTCTGGCATTTTATCTGGCATATCTTCTGGCATTCTATCTGGCATTCTATCTGGCGTTCTATCTGGCATATCTTCTGGCATATCTTCTGACATTCTATCTGGCACTCTATCTGGCAAATCTTCTGGCGTTCTATCTGGCAAACATTCTGGCACTTTATCTGGCATACCCTCTGCCATTCTATCTGACATTCTATCTGGCATACCTTCTGGCATTCTTTCTGGCATATCTTCTGGCATTCTATCTGGCATTCTATTTGGCATATCTTCTGGCATTCTACCTGGCATATCTTCTGGCATATGTTCTGGCATATCTTCTGGCATTCTATTTGCCTGTTGAGGTCCAGCGGTGCCCACTGAGCTCCGAAGGTCCCAGGTTGAGGTCCAGCGGTGCCCACTGCGCTCTGAAGGTCCCAGGTTGAGGTCCAGCGGTGCCCACGCTGCTCGGAAGGTCCCTGGCTGAGGTCCAGCGGTGCCCACTGCGCTCAGAACCTTGCGGTTGAGGTCCAGCCGTGCCCACTCAGATCGGAAGCCGGCAGTTGAGGTCCTTGACAGCGGGAATCAAAGGAGTCGCGATGGTCTTGGATCAGGAAGTGCAGCCTCTCACAAGTGACTTGACCAAAGGAACATTAATCATATGTAGAATAATGTTATTCAGTTGCTTTGCGTTGCTTCTTTTCCTACTTCTGCTGTTCTGCTTCTTTGTTTTTTCTTTGCGTTTCTGCTTCTTCGCTTTTTTGTTTGGTCGCAATTCTGTTTCTTCGTTCCTCTGCTTTTCTGCGTTTCCAGGTCAATGTGTTTTTGCGTCTCTGCCTTTCTGCTAATTAAACATTATAAACCAACCCCAAAAAAATCTTAAATATATTTTAAGCCAACCCTAAATAAGCCCAAAACGGCCCTAAACCAACCCTAAATAAATCCTACACCGACCCTAAATAGAACCCTAAACCAACCGTCCACAAGCAGCAGCATTTGTAGCGCAAATGATCGAAAACATAGCCCCTGCGCGATGTCTCCTATAGAATCCCAGCCCTGTAAGATAAAAACAGGGAACGATTCCCCGAACGGAATAAAAAAAAAAAACAAAAGCATCCTCGACCAATGTGGGAGAGCTGCATAGATTCAGCAGCATTATCCTATGTGAGTTCAGTTCTGTGTGTATCCCGGTTGATCTCCTTGCATTTTTGCCCAAACGCTTTGCCCAGAAAACAGAGACGTCCCGTGCTGAGGAGTTTGGTGTCTATTCGAATTTTTCCTGTCAAGCCGTGAGCACTTGGAGTTGGTTTTCGTCACCAATGCAGGTGTGGTGGGTGATGCTGCTTGGCCGAAATTGGTTTGTCTCAAAAAGTTTGGAACCCGGCAACCAGCTGTTGTTTCCATGAGAAAAGTCTTTGCGGGATTGTCAGTGCAAATGTTGCGGGCAAGTTTTTGTTCCTATCATGTGGTTATTTTTTACTTTTTCGAATTTGTGAGTTTGTGTAAGTCAGAAGCGGGGCCTGACGGGTTGCAAAAGTTCTGAAAGGCCGGCAGCTGCCTTATAGGGCTAGCATGGGCTAGCTATGACATGAACAATGTTCCCTTTGCTGCAGGATGGCTGCAGCTCCTTTGACATTGCGTTGGAGGTGGGCAAGAAGATAGAGTCTTTGCAAGTTGAAACGTGCGGGGCATCTTCAGAGGACGATAAGAAACTTGATTGCACCCAAATCCGCACGTTTCATTCCTCGTGGAATGAGAAATTGCCATTGACTCCTTGTTAGAAGAACCAAGTGCGAGGTCAAATTTCAGCCTGCAGGTGACTGAAACTAATAGCGGACAGTTGAATTTCGATTGAAATCCAATGTGACACAAACGCAAGGTTTGACTGAATTAAATAGTACCACATGAATTTGCCCCTATAACAAATACCGGGTCCACATGGTCAGGGTTGAGGCATCCTGATTTTGGTTCAAACTTTGAAGTAGATGAAACATGTGCAAGAGGACGATAAACCATGATATTGGCAAAAAATGATAGAAACTTTGTAATGAACGAGTTGTACTTCGAATGTGCTGCATGCATGTCCATAGCCCCATCCTTGTCATTTCGAACAATTAATATTTTTCTGAAGCCATCTATTTGGAATTATGTGGCAACAAATATATGTTTAGCAATCATGCAATGCTTTAGCTTTCCACACTTGTTTTGTGTTTAAATAAATGAAGGAGACAACGTCGGAGACAACGTCGGAGACAACGTGGGAGACAACGTGTGCACTCAAATGACAGTGGTTTCATGTTTTGTTTCAGGAGCATGCACGCCGTTTGCTTCGCGTGTTGTTTTGCCTAAGGGTCGACTCAGTTGATTCCTATATGTGTTCTGTCTAATATATTAGTTTGTAACAAACATATGATTGGGGAGGTGAGTTTTCATCTTGATCACAGATAGGTCCCAGGTATTTGATTATTAAAGTATTCCTGGCCAAAAAATGCTGCCAAGAAACCATTGAAAAAACAAGTTTAAACAAATTGGATCCAGATACCCTCTCACAAAGTGTTTGGTTTAAAAAGTTGCTGAGAATAGTATCGAAATTGAAATTGCCCCGGAATGGTCTCGCATCTCCAAGACAGTGACTGTGGGCAAAAGTTGTGTCAATTTTGGCATCTTAGCAAAACCAAATGCAACAGACTGTGGTCAAAGATAGATTTCATGGCAAAAAGTCAAAGATAAAGTGGTGTTGCCGCTAATTTGCTGTATAGAACTTGAACCATTTTTTAGTCAACATAATATGTTTGGTAGACTCAGAGATCCAGGCATGACCCATTTAAGCGGAATGAATAATATATATAGCTTCTGACTTGAAAGGTTTTTTTCCCGAGAGCGTCTGAGCGCAGGGTTCTTCCAATAGTGGGGGTCTGTATCTCATCTGCTCATCTTCACATCTGCTCATCTTCACATCTGCTCATCTTCACACCTGCTCATCTTCACACCTGCTCATCTTCACACCT